AGGTCAATGAATAAAGCTTGTATGTCAGCTTGTTTGCCTTTCCAATTACTCTGGCAAATCCAACAAAGTTTGGAAATCAACTCCTAAGGGTTAGGGAAAGGTTAGCTTCCTGCATCCAAAAATATTTATTTATATCACACAAGTGTAAGAAAAAGTGCTTCAATATCTCTTTTTCTCTAGAGGAAAAGCAAATACCATACAGACGGGATGCCATGTCTTGAACGAGGACAACATTCCTCCATATGCTTGGAAAAGTGTAGCCTTTAGCCATGATTTCCAGGGACAGATCTGGTTGGGAGGACTAGCAGGACTGTAGTTTCTCTGCTAGCATGGTAAGCATAAGATCAGCAAAAGGCTGTGCTGCCCTTCATTCATAAAGCATAATACTCCAACCCTGATTTCATCTGTTGCATGGGGATGAAATGAGAGAGAAGCGGAGTGGGCAGTAGAAATGGCTTTTTCTACCATGTGGAGTACATCCATGAAAAACTGCTGTCCATCATACTCATAACAAGTTTCAGTTTGATCCTGGAAGATCCTGGAAAGGGGTCGATGGTGAAGGGCATGGAGCCCAAATGGTGTTCTCAATCCTGCTGATGAGAGGAAATTACTTGCGGAGCTGGATGGCTCCAGCAGGTCAACAACTGGCTGTGCCTCTGGTGTAGGCCACAAGAATTTGGCTTTTATGACCATAAGAGCATCTTCCACAATCAAGGCCTTCTTGGAAGAGATGGGATCCACCTGACTAACAAGGGCAAAAACATTTTTACCTACAGTCTAGTCAACCGGTGATGAGAGCTTTAAATTAGGAGCAACAGGAGGGAGATGATAAACAACAATCAAGTGAGGAAGTAGTGGACCAATGAGACAAGTGAAGTGAACAGGGTGATATGGACAAGAGAAATCTCACAATCAACGTAACTAGGGCACCTAGTATATGCTTACAAATATCTTAAGGGTGGGTGTCAGGAGGATGGGGCCAAACTCTTTTCAGTGGTGCGCAGCGACAGGACAAGGGGCAATGGGCACAAACTGAAGCATAGGAAGTTCCGTCTGAACATGAGAAAGAACTTCTTCACTCTGAGGGTGACCGGAGCACTGCAACAGGCTGCCCAGGGAGGTTGTGGATTCTCCTTCTCTGGAGATATTCAAACCCGACCTGGACGAGGTCCTGTGCAGCCTGCTGTAGGTGACCCTGCTTCGGCAAGAGGGTTGGATTAAGATGACCCACAGAGGTCCCTTCCAACCCCTACCATTCTGTGATTCTGTGAAATAGGGCCCATTTCAAGTGTATGCTCATGAATAAGGAAGCACCCATGGGACAGCAGAAGGAGAGCTCTCATCCCTTTTCTAGGATGCTTAGCACTCTTGATAACACAAATAGCTTGAGGTTTGTGTGCAGTGACAGGGCAATGATCTCATTGGGATCACAGACACATGCTAAGATAGCTCACAGGAGTGGAGTACTGCCATGGAAGGATACTTGGCTTTTGAGGAAGGACATGTAGGATGGCGGAAAGGGGAGTTGCTCTTTACGAGAGAAAGCAGCAAGACTGCATGGAGCTCTGCGCAGGGACAGATGAAAAGCCAGCTGAGAGTTTGTATATCAGTATTCGAGGCCAAACCAAGATGGGTAATGCTGTGGTGGGTATCTGCTATGGAAAAAGTAGATGAGGCTTCTTCAGACAACTGCAAGAAGCCTTGCGCTCACAGTCCCCGGTGCTCATGGAGTACTTTACTACTTCAAAGTAGTAAAAGACTTTACCCCACATCTGGGGGAGGCACAGTGTATCTGCTGGAGGGACAGGACAGCACCGCACCAGAAATCCGGGAGGGTTCTGGAGTGTGTTAACAACAACCTCCTAACATGGGAGCTCCACTGGAAATCATACTTACAAAAAAGTAAGGACTCGTCAGAGATGTGAAGGTCGGGGCAGCCTTGCCCCTGATAATGAGATGGTGGAGTTCAGAATCTGGAGAGGAGGGAGCAGGGAAAAAAGCAGGATCCCAATCCTGGAATTCAGGGAAGGAGACTTTGGCCTATTCAATGGTCTGCTTGGAAGAATCCCATGAGATCCAGTCCTAGAAAGCAGTGAGGTTCAGGAGAGCTGGTTGATGTTCAAGGATCACCTCCTCCGAACTTAAGAAAAGTTCATCCCAACAAGCAGGAAATCATAGAATCATTAAGGTTGGAAAAGATCTCTAAGATCATCAAGTCCAACCATCCACCCAACACCACCATGCCTACTAAACCATGTCCCAGAGTGCCACATCCACACGGATTTTGAACACCTCCAGGGATGGTGACTCCACCACTTCCCTGGGCAGCTTGTTCCAATGCTTGACCACTCTTTCAGTACAGAAATTTTTCCTAATACCCAACCTAAACCTCTCCTGATGCAACTTGAGGCCATTTCCTCTCATCAAACAAGCAGTTCTGAGGAGGCTCGATGACGTCAATGAAAAGCCGCTTTCTGTTGTCTTTGAAAGGTCATGGTGGTCAGGGAAGATTTCTGAGGACTTGAAAAAAGCAAATGTCACTCCTAATCTTCAAGAATGGCAAGAAGAGAATCCAGGGAACTACACACTGGTGGCAAGGTGATGGAGCAAGTTATCTTGGAAGCCATTTCCAAATATCTCAAGGACAGGAAGGTGATTGTGAGGAGTCAACACGCATTTACAAAGGGGCTATCCTGTCTGACCAACCAGTTAGCCTTCTCCAAGCATGTGACTGGCTTGGTGGATGAGGGAGCTTCTCACTTATCTGCTTCTGGATGTTGTTTATCTTCAGTAAGGTCTCTGGCAGTCTCTCACAAAATTCTCACAGACGAGTTGATGAAGTACAGGCTAAATAAATGGACAGTGAGGTGGACTGAAAGCTGGCAGAACTGCTGGGGTCATGGTGTTGTGATCAGTGACATGAAGTCCAGCTGGAGGCTACTCAATAGCGGTCTACCCCAGGGGTCAATGCTGGGGACAATATTGTGTAACATCTTAATTACTGAATTGGATGATGGCTAGAGTGTACGCTCTGCAAGCTTGTAGATGACAGAAAACTGAGAAGAGTGGCTGAAACACCAGAGAACTGTGCTATTGTTCAGAGTGACCGGGGTTGGAGAAATGGCCCACAGGAACCTCAAGAAGTCTCCATCCTCAGAGACAGTCAAAGCCCAGCTGGACACAGTTCTGAGGGTCAGACCCTACCTCAGGATATAAGCACACTAACAGGTTCTCTCAAAGTATCGCAGGTTGTGAATTTAGCAAATATACCTTAGCACTTGAGACAAATGCTCCCTGACCCTATCTTCTGGGCGTGCATGCCCTTACTACAGTTTGCTGATGAGTGACACAACCACATCACACTAGGAGGCTATGCCTGGCCCCGAATGCTAAGATCCTCTCCTCAGACATCTCTGTATCTTGTTAAAGGCAGTGAGAGAGCTGTCTAATCTGCCTCCATCAAGTACAGGAAGACCCTCACCTTGGCCCTGACCTCTTGGCTCACACAGCTTTCCCACCCTTTGCACCTCCTTCCTCTTAAAAAAGAAATGGGTCCTTTTATTGGTTTGGTCTTTGAGGGAGAAGACAAACATGCTTTTCATCCAAGTGTGCTTGTGACTGGAAGCAGCACTGTTCCCTGGGGAGAGAGGTGATTGATTAATACAGACCAGCTATTACCGCTTCACATTGTTGTGCAGGGAAGAGGTCAGAGCTGTGACATGGTAGTGACCA